AACTCCACGAATTGTTGATTTACAAGTGTAGAAAACACCAGATAGAGATACCAGCTCTTGTTCATTCTGTCGTGTCTGAGTAAAGTGGAATCTGGGGTATCGAGCCATAAATAGGAAAATCTGCCAGTGCAGAATAAGCCCTTTTTGGTGCAAGTGGTTAAGCAACAGATCGAATATCTTTAATCCTCTTTTGCGAAAGCGTGGGTTCGATTCCCAACAAAAACTGACAATGTTCATGACATTCCAGCGCTAACGCCAGCTGGCTTTTGGTTATTTGTATAAAAATGAAAGGACTGTCTTCCAAAAATCTAGTTCCATTGTTCGAAGTTTACAAACAAATTACAAAACCAATAAAATTAATTTAATTCTCAGTAAATTCTCAGTAAAATTGATAATCAAAAAGTAAATGTTGTTAATATCTTACAGAAAATCTCATAATAATTCCAAACATTGTCATACATCCTGCTAAGGCTAATGATAATGACAGTAATTGCGAAAGAAGAAAAGAAGAGAAAATTGAATTTTAAATGAGGGATTGAATCAATATCAGCTTTATGTGTACATATATATATTGAAAGCTCGTGTATGGCAAAGTAAGCACAAAAATCAACACTTCCCTGCAGGCACTTGAAATCCAATCCATATTTGGTTGGAATTGAAGCCGCCAATTTAAATGACATTTATGGGATGGATTAGAGTGTGAGTGAATTGAGACATTCTAGGTGGTGTGGGTAATGACATGTTCCTCAAATTTCTTCGAAATTATGTTTATGTACAGACTAAAATATCAAATGACATAAATGGCCTTTTACTGTTTCACATTCTTACCAAGTGTGACTTCAACTCAATTTCTTTTTATTGCTCACTCCAAAAATACTCAATTCGACTCGTCAGCCAGCATGCAAGTATTCAAGCTTACCCATAAGTAGGTACACACACATACGTTAAGTTTGACAGCTTTTCGATTAGATTCTATATATTCATATATTGAATTTCATATGAGCCACCGCCATTGAAATAAAATAAAGAGAAAGTAAATTGACTCATTCACTTGACAGTGCGTTTGGTACTTCACAATCACTTGAGGCACTTTTGTGGAATAAAAAAAAATAAAGAATTTACTTTCTCACAAGTGTGCATGTCATTAGACGAAATATAAAATGAGAGAGAGAAAAAAAAAGGAAAAAGAATTTTTTTTTGAGACTTGTGTTTGTGCTTCGGCAAGTCGCTCTATGAATTTCAAGTGCCTGAGTCAAACGAATGGAAAATTTGAATGTTAAAATCCCTACGTCCGTACTCTAATGTTGAGATGCTCTTATTGTTATGGAAAAAAATTGGCTGTTCTAGGCTTGCAAGCTTGACTGTTGAGTATTTTGAATTCTTTTTGGTATTAAGGACCTGTTTCGCTGAAGCAAAGCTTGTTTTTTAAGGAAGCTATTCGATAAACTTCAGGCAAACCTATACAAAACCTACAAAATTGAACAATTTTACAGCTAGTTGTCTCACTTCCTATAGTTCCATTTCTACTCCCAAGCAATCAGTTGAGGCAAAATCATTACATTTAAATTCATAACTTCCTCACCCCCTAAAAAATCTCAAGAACTTTACGACCTTTCACACAAATCTGTCTAAATATTGAACCCAAAGTGCCCCACGTTCGTCGTCTCTCATATTTTTGGATATATTCACGATTATACAAAAAAAAAAATAAAAAGAGCACAAAAATAAAAAAGAAATTTACTTTAAGGATTTTTCTCTATTGTGAAGACAATTTTCCCATGTTTTCATAGCCATTTGAGCATTTTGCCTTTTTTCTATTGTCATTATTATTTTTGTTGTTACTTTAACAGCACATAAAGGTGATGTAGCATGTTCATGTAGAAAAAATAAAAAAAAAATTGACGAAGAAGAAAAATAAAAGTTTTGAAGATTTTTTGTGAGCATAAATTTTACTCACTTTTTGAAATCTTTATGTCTTCTTTTTGTAATACATCCTTTGGGGTGCTTCTTGTTATTTATAGGTTAAATTTTATTCTTTGTGCTTGTTAAATTGATTGAAAAGAAAATCACAATTTGCGTATTTTATAGATATAAAGATTCGTGGTTGGAGGAATTTTTTATGGCACTTTTTCTTTGCTTTACGTGATTTGATTGATTTTAAATATATTTTTTTTAATATTAAAGTTGAGGTCTTGGATGGGTTTTGTGGATTAAATATTTGAAAGGAGTTTCTTTGAAATTGAGATTTTGAGAGCAACACAATGCGAATTGACACCTTTTCTATGTAAAGATTGAAAGATTAAATTCCAGCAGCTAGGAATCGAACCTGAGTGTTTTAAAAATTAACGATTGTAAGTCTGCTTACTGGTTTTTTGGTAACAGAGCCTGTTAGTGAATTTGGAACGACAGATTAGCCTACATATGATTCAGGACTCTTACATGGATCGGTTTATCTGAGCAATTAAATAACTTTGCCATCAAAAATTAGTTCAACCCTAAAACATCGTTGGCCATAGTTCAGGTGGTGCTCTAAAGTATGTCAACAAAACACGCTAGTAACCCAAGAGTAGCTGGATGATAGACTTTAAGTTCTTTCAAATCCTTAAAATCCGTCATCAACTTAGCATCACATCTCGTTAATTACAAGAAAAATAATCGAAGCTCAAGTGCTTAATATGAATTTACAAAGAAAACGTAAAGAGTAATTAAGAATATTAAATACACGCCAGTTTGAGCATAAAATGATGCTGATTAATTTATAAAAATTATAATAAGCTTCTAATCGTAATCATGTGTTATAATTCTTAAGACATTAATTAATTTTCCCTCAAAAAATTAAATCAACAACTCACTCGTACAGACAATATACTTCCTGAATAGAACCTTTATCCTCTTTTGTCGCATCCCTAAAATCTTATTCTGATTGAATCAATCTCCTTCCAAGCTATTCAGTAAACATATGAAAATATGGAGCGATTTTTGTAAGGTTTCCTTGAGGTTGAAAGAGGTCACAACCGCAAATATGCTCATACAACCCCTCTCAATAAATTCATTCTGTAAGAGCATGTCTCTATTTTATTAAGATTAATTTTTTAATAAATGAAAATATTTTTGAGACATGAACTGCTCGTAATTTTGTGAATGTGAGTAGATTTTAGGCCTTTTTTGATTACTTTGTTGGATCTTTTGTTGTGAGAGGGGGCTGTTAAGATGTAGGGATGTGTATTAGTTGATCTATTAAAAATATGAATAATAGGGGAACATGTTGAATAATCTTTGATATCGTTAGAGGGTATTTTGACCTTAGAACTGCTGAAAAGTTACTAAAATCGTTCAAGAATTATACAGGAGCTAGATTTTTGTAAGTGCTGATAAGTTTAGTGAAGTAAAAATCCATACCAGCCATATAATCAACAGAAATATTATTCTTATCCTGAGTTTGCTTTGTATCCTTACGTATCCTTCATCTACTTCAGTTTCCAGCTTTCAAATAATTCTTGTGGTCTAGTTTTAGAGCGCAAGCACAACAGAGAATCAAAAGCTTTCCTATTAACAATTGAGAACCAAAAGTTTTTCATGCTTCAAAGCTATTGTCCAACTTAAAAACCTAAACAGGATTCATTTTATTCAAACAATTCGTCAATTAATCTCGACAGCAACATAAACTTTAAATTTGCCAAATAATTGGAAAATAAAACCTGGAAAATAAAGCCAGAAAAAAACTGAAAAAAAATTTAGCAAAAATAAACTTTTACACAAAAGCTTCAATTTTTTGTTCTAATCGTTCATTAAATTCAACGATGAAATTTATTCTTTTTAAGCATATTATTATCATTTATTTTAATTTTTTTTGTTTTAATTTATTTAATCAATCCTATCCTCACATTCAACTACCTCTCACACAAAATATATTATTTCTTGTCCTAATAAAATTCATCTTTTTTAATAATTATTTTTTTTTCTTCTAAAAACAGTCAATTTTTATATCCATCTGTCCGTGGTCTTTAGTGGTCGTTCGCAAATGTCGTTAGAAAATAACTGGAATTTTTTTCAACAATTTTTAAAAGAAATTTAAATATTCTGCTTTTTTAACCTCTTAAGTACCGCCCCCCACCCTCCCCCTCTTCTTCTTAAACAGATCATGAAATTGACCAAGGTTTTGAATAGAGTCTGGTCAGCTATAGTCGATTGTTGTTGATACTAGTCGACTCTAATCGACTCAAGTCAACACTAGTCGATATAAGTCGATTATGTACTAGTAGATTATAGTCGACTCTAGTCGACTCTAATCGACTCTTAATAGATCTGGTCAACACTAGTCGGCTAAAGTCGATCATACACTAGTCGATTATAGTTGACACTAGTCGACTCTAGTCGACTCTAAACGACTCTAGTCGACTCTAAACGACTCTAGTCGACTCTAAACGACTCTAAATGGCTCTAGTCAACTTTAAACGACTCTAGTCGACTCTACTCAACCTTAGTCGACATTAGTCGACTGTAATCGACATTAGAAGACTGTAATCGACATTAGTCGATTATAGTTGACACCAGTCGACCCTAAACAACTCTTCTCAACTTTAGTCGACATTAATCGATTGTAGTTGACTCTCCTCAAGTCTAGTTAACTCCATTCGACTCTAACCATACAAAACCTTAGTCACCTTCAACCCTACCCAAACTTAATCCCATAAAACGTCATTTACGAACGACATATTAATAGACCGATTTCTTTTGTTATTTGTGGTGTGTTTTACTTATTAATAAATTTAAATTTTTCCTTAATTCTAATTAAATCAGCACATTCATCCCTTAAAATTCTTCATTTCTTTTAAAATATATTTTCTTTATATATTCTTTAAAATTCTTTTATATTTTTTTTTTGTAATTAAATCTTTTTTGTGTTAGAAAAAAAAAATATTTTCACATCATTTTTTTTGTGTTAAAGTAGCAGGAACTTAATAATCGCTGTCACATTGCTGCGTAACTAAACTCGAATTTCAAAGAAAGCTTTCGCGCGCGCCCTGATTAGAATTGTGCTGTGTGATTTCTGTATTGACAACAACACGCTGAGAATGTGGATCACCGTATTGACTATGATAGAAATCTTCACGCATCATTATGTTAAGACTTGAACAACGGAAATATAAAATCTCTTGAAATGGCTTACGAAAATCACGATTGAGTGTTGCATAAATAATTGGATTTAAGAGACTATTTGCATAACCTAACCATAGGAATACTGATGATAGTGTATGATACTCTTCACCAGTGATTGGTTTAACCAATGCTAATATGAAAAATGGAAGCCAACATACGGTAAATGCTGACATAATTATGCCTAATGTGGTTGACGCTTTACGCTCTTTGGCTAATTGAAATCTTAATTTCTTTTGGTGGGGCGATCCAATTGCATTTATCGGTTTCTCTTGTGTGGTTGTTGTGGTTGTTTGTTGCGGTACGCCATTTAATGCACCCTCGAGACGGGTTTGTGCACGCTTCTCATCCATAACTATCCGTCGTGCGGCACGAAATATTTGATAATAAACGAATAACATGACAGCTAATGGGATGTAAAAGGAACCGAAGGTGGCATAAATTTGATAACCGAAACTTTGACAAACGACACACTCGGGTCGTCCGTCAATTTGATGCTCATTACCGAGAATGAGAAGCGGTGGAAGTGAAATGCAGGCAGCACCAAGCCACACAAGGAAAACACATAACATCATTCGACGTGGCGTTCGTTTAACGCCATATTCCAATGGCTTTGTTATTGCCCAATATCGATCAACGGATATTGCACATAAATTAAGAATTGACGCTGTGCATGAGAGCACATCGAAGCTAACCCAAACATCACAGAAAAATGTACCGAAACGCCACTCGTGAAGCACCTCATACATGAGTGCCGTCGGCATAACTAGCACTGCTACACATAAATCTGATACAGCTAATGACACTAATAAATAATTACATGGTCTTCTCAACTTACGTACTAAACACACAGCTACGCATACTAATATATTACCAATTATAGTACCTAATATTACAGCTAATAATATAATACTGATTAGAATTGTTTGGACAGTAATTTGGTTTGCTGTACCATCGTCGTCATTCTCATCGCCATTAATGTCATTTAACACCGTCGTTGTGGTGCTAAATGACGTTGACGATGCGAATGACGATGATGTAATTTCAGCAAGTGACGGATACGGTGCAATTGTGCTGTTTAAAATTCTAAAACGACTTGTTGATGAAGCTGGCGATGTTGTGATGACTGCTGCTGCTGCTACTGACGTTAAATTCGCTAAGATTATACTTGCAATTTGTGATGTCGATGAGGACAATGATATTGATGATGGTGATGCTAATGATGACAACGCAGGTGATGTTGTCACCTCAGTAATTGTTGAATAATTGTAATTAATGCTATTGATCGTATGGTGATGTCTAGTTGTGTCCGTTAAATTAAATATAAGTGATGACATTCGATCCTTAAACTCATCCATAAAAATTTAGTTTCTTTGCTGTCGATTGTCTCTTGTTTGCCTTGATTTTAATTTTTTTTTTAAATTCTTGATGACTTTGTGTTGGGGATGTAGCACCCCATTTTTCTTATATTAATCAATTTTGAAGCAGAAAAGCGAGAGCGTATGTGATATACTTTTATGTTTGTAACTGTTGCCGTTGTGCAAATATTTTTTTATATACTTAATTCTCCCCTCTTACTTCCTTCTTTTATGATTTTTCACCTGTTGCCATCAACGATATGTGATGATATATGCTGCTCTGTATTCATATTCATATTCATGCGACGACATGCAAATGAGTTTCAGTTTCCTTCTTTCCGTTTAGACGCAAATCAGGAAAATCATTTGACAGGCGCAAAAATTTTTTTTTAATCTTATCTGACTTTCTTATGGCTTCTAATCTAATTTTTTCATATCCTTGTGCTTTCTAGAAGTCATTGGAAGGAAAATGATTTTATTTGGCTGCTTCTTACACATTTTTCTCATTCCAATTTTAACTCTCATGTGCATTCACAGGATGGGAGGACTTGTTGATGAAAAGTTTCTTTTACTGCTGCTTTTGCATCGTCGATGGATGTTGGAGTGATTTCAATCATACTTTATTGGTAATACTTTATGTTTCACATGAGCTACTCTTGTCATAGCTCTCTCTCTGTCTCACTGATGTTTGAATCTCAAGTGCACTCAAGTTGTGAATCTGCAATGACATAGAATAGAGAAAGATCGATTAGCTTATGGATGATTAAACAGTTAAAGATTGTAGTTTAAAGATAATTTATATATTTTGCTAGGGTTGTGAGGTTATGTTGAGGAGTTAATGTCTTAATGACTTAAATGGATTGAGCGTTTGGTTTTTCGGTGAAAATAAGGCGGACAAGGGCAACCATGTGGCTTCAAAATGGAGTTTTGTCGGGTCTAGTCGGGTCTAGTCGGGTCTAGTCGGGTCAAGCCGTTACTTAAGTCATTAACATGATTAAAAGTCATGAAACTATCTCATTGACCATTACTAAGCATCATCCTTTGTAAATTGCCAACTCTTCTTTAAATCAGACGAAAATCTTGAGATTAAAATCCTTAAATGCTCCATACTATATAGCTATAAACTAATACGTATTCAATAACATTAAATCAAGATTGTAACTTTAATGCTTTACATAGACACAGAAACATCAAAGAAGTCCAACTTATCTTCTCATCGGCCTCATTTGAATGTAATTTAAATATTGAAATATTATTTATAATCAACTTCCTTTAAAACTTTACATCATTCATTTTCCATCGTCATGCATACACAAAGGTCAGATGAGATAAGAAGGTGATGAAGATAAATTGAATTTTATTTTTTGATTAATATAACTCAATTGATGGATTCAAGCGGAAATGAATAAAAGATAGATAAGATTAAATTTTACAGTATGATTCATTGAGCAGGCAGAGAAATGTTATATAATATCGGGATGTCATCAATATTGATAGATGAAACAAATAAATTGGAAAATCATTTCAATTTGGATTCTTTTTTGTGAAAATTTTGAGAATTCTATTCAAAAAATTTTACTTACTTATTGATAGGATTTAAAATGAATTAATTTGAGATTTTCAAACATTTGTTTTATTGAATTTTAAATTATTCTGATTAGATTAACAGATTATTTAGTCAAAAACTAGAGTTATCTGAAGAACTTTAAGTATGAAGAACATTAAGTTGAATTGATTTGATTCAAGGCTATTCTATTTAAGTGGTGAGTTAAGTTTAAGTTGGGATAATCAAGGTTGGTAATGATCAGTTGAATCAGCAATCTCAATTTAAATGGCTTGTTGTAGTTTAATAGCTAAAGCGACACAGTAGCTCCGTTTATACTAAATATTATGAGATTATGTATATCCTGAGACATGTATTTAGACGTGCAAAATTCAATTCAGTACTTAGACTGACTGTTGCAGACTTTATAGATTGCAAGAGATCTAGAGAAAGACTGAAGAACACCTGGATTAAATGAGTTGATAAGGACGCTAAGGTCCTTAATATCCGGAACTGGTAGAAGGTCTCGGAGGATTGAGCTGTCTTTAGACGATCTCTGAACGTGGCAATGGGCCCACGTGCACCTCAGCCAAGAAAGTAAGTAAGTATATCCTGAGTTCAGTTGATTTTAGCTTTCGAACCACTCCTTTAGATAATCCATAATTAATTCAAACTTCTTACTATTTTGAATAGCTGCATTTCACCCAGCTTATTCAACCTTGATCTTCAAAAACAACATTATAAAACATAATTTAATTCAATAGCTTAATATATGTCAAGCATCTCCATCAAAACTTCTTCACCTCTTTAATATTACAGTTATTTCTCCCTCCAAAGACAAGCACATCATTCTTATCATACATTATCACTCCCATCTTATATTTCCCACTTTAATCTATGACATAATATGTTTTTAAACTCTAGAGCTTATTTCATAGTTTTATATCTGTTTAAAATCTCTTTATTGAAAGAACAAAGGATGATAATCATTTAAATGGAATCACCTTTTTTTTTTGAGCATATAAAAAATTATCGTCATTCTCCTTTCATGTATGTGGAAGTTGAAAAAGGAAAAAACTTTTTGCAAGCAAAAATAATGCTGTGTGCATGTATGTCATATGATATTATGAGAAAACATGTCATCATCATTAAAACCGTACATCCGCTCTTATTCCTTTATTTTTCGTGCTTCTCTCTTCATACATTTCATACTCTCTCTTTCTCACTTGCTTAAATGTGTATGAAGTAATATCATTGAGCAATTTGTTTCATGTTTTATGGCTTGCATTAAAACTTTCATTCATTCTTGACGTTATGTTTTTTTCTGCTTAGCATAGAATAAATGCGAACACATTTCTCATCTATTATGCTTGTTCATATTTTTAAGCATTTTATATGTGTCACTTAAGAAGGCATTCGTGAGAAGAAAAAAAAATTATTTCTGCATAGATAGACGCTGGAGTTAGTGAATAAAATATAAAAGAAAATTGCAAGCTCTTAAGGTGGATTTAGTGAAGTTTTAAACGCATTTTTGGAAGGAGACGAGCCTTTTTGAGCTGCTGGGTATTCAAAAAGGTAAGAGAATTAGTTATTAGATATCTTTCAAGATAGAATTGTTGCTCGAATGGCTTTAAGGTTAAGGTTTATGACAGATATCTTAAGAACACTCATTCGCAGAACTGTTATGAGCTCTGTGATGCATATGATGAATAATTATGAGCGGGAATCTTCTAGTCTAGGAATCTTTCGCTTGTAGTAAGGGGAAGTTCATTTACGTTCATTTTCTAAAATTCCATCCACTACGAAGCAATGTGGAGATAGCAACAGAATTTCTTAGAACTCCAGTGTTAAGTAATAAGTGAGCAGCCGAAAATATAACTTTGGTTAAGAGCTTCTGCCTAGCTTTCGTACTTTATGTCGTTAAAAAATCGAATATTTTGTACCTCGTAGGATTAGAACTCACAACATTAGAGTTTGTACACCAAATAAAAGCTAGGGTATTAGGAAATTCATCTGCTAAAGGCAGTTTCTGTTAAATAACAGTTAAGGGACGTTCACTTATGACGTCCAGGGGGGGGGGGGGGGGGGGGTTCAGCAAGAAAAGAACATTAGAAATTCCTGGAAATCCATTGTTCTTTTTTGAAAAATGACCGTTAATATCGGACGTCATAAGTGAACGACTCCTTAATAGAATCTTGATTATTTGTAGCCTCTAAGCCCATGACAAGAGTTATTAGAAGATAAAAGGGTTCGAATAGCTCTAAATCCTCAACCAGATTTGTTGTTTAAAAAAAATCTTCCCAAAAGTTCAAAATTGTAGAGTTAAAAAAATCCAGACCCTTCCCTAGAAATTTCACTGTCGCAATATTATTGCCAAAGTTACAAAACATCATCTACTCCCAACAAAATAGCTTCAATTTCCTGTATCAACTTTATGAATGAAATTTTTCCACGCTCAAAAATGTTGTGAAAAGCTCCCTTACCCAGCAAAAAAAACTGCTTATGCTGCAATCTCAACAAAAGTTTCTTTAAAAATAATAAATTTATTATTTATGCCTAATCGTCTCGCACCAAAAAAATTGTTTATCAAGTAAAAGCTTTTTTTGTTTCTTTTTTTCTTATCATCTCGCATTTTTATCTCTTCTTTCTCTGAAGTAACAACAAAAGTATGACTAAAATTGACATTCAACATCATTTTGCACTTAGCATTTAGTGGAAAGAGATCACACCTTAAAAATGTATATTTTTGTCAAACATTTAGTCACAGTTTTTCGCTGATTTGAGCTTTTTTTCTGTTGTTGTTATTCTGCTTATTCCCTCGCCCTCTTTAAGATGATTAATGATGGTAATCAGATTTGCAGAGTACAGCGGAAGCCACAAATATGATACGTCATAAAAATACTGCTCGAATTTCATTCCATGTATATTTTTTTAATGTCCTACACAGCCCAAACAACTGCACACACATGTGAGAGAAATATGAGGATGAAAAATTTGGTTTATTTTACGTCGACGATGCGAAACATGTAAACTTTTATATTTTTTGTTGAACCGGATAAAGTAAGAAGTTTTTTGTGCAAGTAGTAAATTTTCATTTAAATTTAATAACAACGTGTATGAAAATTTCAGTCGCATGATCTAATATGTGAGGATTAATAAGGACTAGAGTAGCAAGGCTGAAGACACGAGAAGCTAATGCGTCAAAAAGATCATGAATTATTTAATATATTTTTATGGCTGTTGCCGGTGAAAATGGAAGATTATTTAGATATATGAGGATGTGTGGTATGGGCATGGGTAAAGGAACTGTTTTTGGTAGAAAATATGAAATTTAAGACTGAAATTTAATTACGAAGAGAGAGCATTCTCAGTAAAGGCAATCTATAGCAACTGAGAATGGTCTTACACTCGAACATACAAAGAACATGCTTTTTCAAAGCAGCTCAGTGCATCGTTT